ACAGTCTCTATGTTTAACAATGTCGTGTTTTTGAGGGGAGAAAATCATTAAATAACTTTCCTCGACCAGGGTGAGGCAAAAGGGTATGTCAGACTCTTACTGACTAAAAACCACCTCGTTCCTTCTATGCTCTAGGCCGAGGCGGTACCTTCTTCCATCATTATGACAGGCAAATTTGGATTTAAAACATATTTTGTAACACCGTTTTTGAAGTGTTAAAAAGCCAACGCTGTGATCCACCCCCTCTTCTATTCCAAATACACAAAGTGCCCCCGTGCAAAAATACAAAAAATGTGCTTAAATTAACCGAGTACCTTCTTATTTTGGGATAAAACGTGTTTCGCGCATGTGACACATGCCCTGAATCTATAATTTTTCATTAAACATCAACAAGATATCACTATAAATGTGTGTGTAAAAGTTCATAAAGTAATACGAAATCACCAATAACCAACATCACTGGTTTTAATTGTAACAGCTTAACCCGTTTTAGCTAATAAAACATTTTGCTTTTACACACAAAATTCAATGATACGAGCTTTTCGACGCCCATGCTAAATTATACACGAAAAAGATGTTAAATCCGCATTTGCTGGTTTTTTATTTGAATGTAAACCGTATGTACAACGGCTGATAAAAACTGATATAATAAGCGGCTCGGTCATGGCACGACACATTTCCCTTGGGCCACACTCGTATGTAATTCACCAACATTTGTCAGAGTTAGAGATTTGAATGTTTTTGGTTATTACACACACAGGGTTGCCTGCTGCAAAAACACAGAAATAAAGTAGTTTCAGTGACATATGAGTGGCTATTTATGTCGAGAAGAAATAAATGGTATAAAACCAATTAAACATCTTTTTCCATCCAAATAAAATTTATAATAAGTCGATTAGACCGTAGCTAAAAATATTTTACCCTTTTTGAGCTGTTTGCAGCAGGCATGTACTAGCAGCATACGATTAATCGTGATTGTACACTTGACGCAGTTGCTGGGAAACCGGCTGTTGTGCATCGTGTCGCAGGTCTATTCTTACACGGAGCAACTCTTTGTACGATTCATATATTGTATTTCGGATCTGGGTGTTAGGTAATTGCATGTAGAATTGTTTATTTGTAAACGCAACTACGACAAGGGGAAAAACTCCTAGTACTAAATCGTGGAATTAGTTCAGTGAAGGACTGTAAGGAGTCTGCTGTTTATCCACCAGAATATTCAATAGACCGAAAATGTTACTAATTGATCGCTACATGTCAGGAGCAGACGTAAGTCGGATCACAAACATTTAGAAACACGCATCACAAGTTAATCAGCGTTTTCTAAGATTAATGGTTAACTGTTACAAATACGTAGTGGGAGCTCGGAGTTTAAGGCGCCCGCTTCACATGCATGAGGGTTCGAAGCCTGACAATACAAATAATTTCTTTGATTATTTAGACACCACTGACAAACGGTGATGCGAAAATCGTAAGGAAACCTTTTTTTTTTGTCAGGGGAAAATCATCCAATGACTTCTCCCGCCCAGGGTAAGGCGAGAGAGAGTGTCAGACTCTTACTGACTAAAAACCCCCCCGTTCCTTCTCCTGCTCTGGGCCGAGGTCGCGGTGCCTCATTGCGCTTACCCCGCAGCCCCGGCTTAACATCAGCCCTTTAGGGCCCCGACTGTGGTGGTCTATTGGCTCTTTGAGGCGCGCGCGGAACGCTACGCGCCGTACGCTCGGGTCCGGTTCTGGTCGGGCGGCGAGCTACCCTTACTCGCCGTCCGCAGACCCGCGCTTACGGTGGCCGGAGATCATCTCTCGATCGTGAGGAAACCTGGACATAACTTTTGGTTATAAGTTTCAAATCGCCAATCCGCCTTAAGCAAGTGTTAATGCTAAAACCTTTTTCGTGTGAGAAGAGGCCTTTGTTCGGCAGTGGGCACTTATAGGCTGATGATGTAAGAAATAACATTTAGTACCTATATAGTTGTTTTTTAGGAAATACCTTTAAAGTTATAATACCTTGTACTTGCTCATATTGTTCCATTGACACTGAGTTATTTTCAAAACCCTGTGTAATTGTAACATTAAATAGGTCAGATTCTGGAAACATGAAATATCTTTACCTTTATGCCCTGAAGAAGCAGTACCGGGTTGCTTTGAACAATTGGAATTTCCATATTTGTTTCTTCGGTTGCTGCTACATTGAAGACCATTTCACTATAGGTCTGACGGAGAGACTGGAGACTGTAATCTGAGTTCATTTATAATTTTATTATTATTACCCTGTTTCTCAACTATTCACTTTAAAGAATTTTGCCCCACACTAGTATTTCTGCGATAAATACAATTCCACATCACCACCGAACCCGTGGCACATTGCAAGTCAGCCATCAACAGTCATATTACACAGATTCAACATTTGTATATATTTTTAAATAATGTAAAAGTAATTCTTATTTTACCGACTCCTAAATGAAAAAAACGACATTAAATCATAGGAAATTATAATTACAGTGATAGGGTTGTGACTAATATAGTACTAACATATTAGTAGTAATCACCTAGCGATCTTCGTGGGATACGAATTACTCCAAGCTCTTACGTTTTTCCCTAATGAACCCATCCGAGCTTATGACACGGATTTCTTTTGTTTCATATCAACGAGAGAACGAACTCGGGTCCGCCCTATTGTTGTCACGGATTCATACCTTGTATGAACGGGGAATTATAACTTTACCCTCTTTATATTTTGACACGTAACCTTCCTTCCGTAATATTAATCATTGTTCAAACTTCAATAAAGTATGTACAATATTTGTTATATAACAATATAAAACTATAGGTATAATTAGAACTAAATACTGTTATATATTATAACCACACCACAAAAACTAAATTGTAAAGTGTTTTCTGAATTATAAAATTAAAACGTACAAATATTTAGATAATTAGGTTAATGCATTTTTATCGATTTCTTATTTTAAACTTTATTCATTATTATTTTTTTATACTTTGCCACACCCTAGGATCTATTAGGTCAACATACTTAGACGAAGTTTGTATTTAAAAATACTTTAAACGGGTCGGCTCAAGCGGAGTGATACCACGGCCTCAGAGAAAACAAGCGTTATGTTTCGCCGTGTGAGTGAGGTTACCAAAGGCCCAATCCTTTACTGCCCCAATCCCTAAATCCACAAAAGTTCGGAAACGGACTTGTTCACCACCACCTCACTTGCACCTCAGTTATTTTTTGTATTTGCCGTTCTATCAAATAAAAAATATTCAAGCCTTGTAAATTGTACGTTGTTTGTAAAAGCACCTCCGTTCACAAAACGCAATTTCACATAGACCATAAACCCATCCAAATATTTTAAATGACAAATATCTCATGTCACGTACAAAGCAGTTTCTATGCGAGATATTTTTTTATATTTATCGCATTTTTTTTTTATATTTACTAAACATTTTTCGGACGTCCACAAATCTTTTGAGGCCAAAAGTAACTTAATTCAGAGTTTCAGTATTATTTTAGGTATGATCTTTCCGCATATTCAACGGTCCGTTAATACTGGTTAATCGTGGCTTGATGTGTACCTACAATGTGAATTGAAGAATCATCGCAATTATTCGATTTATTATTTTAAATGATAAATGGACAATATCGTATTTTCTATTTTTGGTTCTAGCTAGGATAATATCAAATAATACTTATTCTTTTTCTATATTGCAAATAGTGGCAAAGTAGCGTGAAGTTTGGGTTCATTGACTCAGTGTCGTGTTTCTAAAAAACTAGCTTCGTTAAGCCAACGATCCAACTTTTCTTAACTCAAGACTTGCCATCTATCGTTATTATAAATCCCTATCTTTACAAAATCATGATACAAGCTCAGCCGTACTGTGCTATGTTTATGTCGTACAAATATAATGAAGGTCTGTCAATGACGTCACCTTAACAATACTGCCCAATAGATAACAATAGAGCAATTGCGAGCATAAAGATGGCGCGCATTGAATGAAGAAAATTGTTGTCCTTCTTCCAAGACTTCATTCTACTGTACGGTTTCTATCGGGATCATTTATTTTCCTATACGTGTATTTGTAAAGTTATGTGCATTAGCTTAAGGCATATTAGTCTTATTGTATGTACAGGTTGCCTGGTTTTTCATTGTGTAGTTACGAAAAACTGTATGTAACTCTCGCACATTTTCAACCCTTCTACTCAGACTCAGCTCATATTGGTGTGTGATCTTTCATAGTATTACGTAGGCTTTTTTGATAAATGGTCTATTTGACGGAATTAAATTTAATTCGAACTAATAGTTTTTGGGTATCAGCGTGTTCAAATATACAAATAAACCCTTCAGCGTGATAAGATTATTAAGAATATAATTACAAGAATGATTTTTGGAAAAAAATGAATCTTTTGTCAACATTGTCCGACTCTAGTAGCCATTGAAGGTCGAATGTATCTGTACTGAAAAAATCTTTACTTTGGTTCACAAAACAAATAATACCAAAATAACTTGACTAACTGTACCTAACCACAACTTTAGTTTCAAATAATTCGACTGACTAACCCAATCATCGTGACCGCACGATTCGTATCCTAAACTGGATTGCTACTAAACCGTCAACTTTGTGGGTCATTCGTTTCGAGCATAATTTCGGAACACAGTACACAAAAGGGAACTATACAAAGCACTCATTATCAGGTAACTTTTAAACAAACGAGCTGCAGAGATTTCCTTTGCGTTACTGGCATTTTAGGGATTATAGTTTAGGGATTTGGAGACGAGAATTCAGGCTCCGGTTCATAGTCAACGGTGAAACACAATGCAAGCGTATGGTTTAAACTGGTTTCTATGAGGCTTTTGTATCACTCCAGTAGAGACGTCCAATTTGTACCGCTATGCTTCGGTACTCTGACGTATAAATGGGATCATCCATCTGTGTAAAGGTATCCCATAAAAATGATGGTTTATCTAGTTTTTTAATGATGTTCTAAATTACAGGTGGAGGTGGGGCACAGTTGGAAGAAACAGAGAATTGCGACGCAGCAGATTTGAACGTGTGTGTAGAACTGATCCCTCGAACTCCTGTCGGCCTACCCAGGAATAAACACGAGTTAGACGCACACTGCCAGTATGTATAATTTAAATGTTATAAAGAACTAAATTTGTGTAAGGTTTTATGTAGAATAATTATTCTGTTAAATGATTTGGTGACCCAAACATAAGATAGCCTTCTTTTTATACAGATAATCAAATAACATAATATTATCTACCTCCTACAAAAAGTAAAGATTGATTCGGTTAGCTTTAGTTATTGTTACAGTTAATCATATTTGCTTTTTGACGAAGCTAGATCTTTTGTAGGTGATCCTTGAGCGTTGATTGGCTATTCCAACCGTAACACGAATGGTTAATGTCTCTGTACTGAATTAAACTTAATTTGTCACAAAAAGATTGTACAGGTACATTTGATTCAGAATTAATACAGAAGTTTGGCTACTAAGCAGATTTATGTTTGCAAAAGATTATTAAAAAAATAATTAAAAATAATATTATTTAGAACCTATAACAATAAATACGGTCTCTATTGTGAGTCAGTCTTTATTTTTTATGGATACCAAATATGTGGTTCCTCATACCGAGAATTTAACCTAAGGTCACAAAGTCCAGAAAAGTGCTTTGTATTAGCACTGAATTCACTTTTTCGGACCTCTATTGTGTTGATATACGTGTCTAATAAGTCACGAAATTGAGTGTACCTTCTGTAACTAAATCCAAAAGATCTAATAAAAGAGAGATTGGCGTGATCTTCTTACTAACGTAATTCTCGGTTTGTGTAGTGCGAAATTCTCAATAGGTACATTAAGAATTTTTGCACTAAAACCGAATAAATATATAAGGATATTTCGTTAAATTACCTCACACTATCTTAGCTTCTAATAAGTTTGCAGAGTTCGCGTGATTTTTCTGATGCTAGGCTCCTGTTGGTCGAAACATGATTTTTTTTACAATCTATAGACTCTCCTGATTCGTCTATCCATCATAAACTTACCTTCTGTCTTATGTTCAATTAAAACCAGTACCTACACATCTAACAAAATACTTGTAATATCATTAACAAATATTGAAGATGCATTTAAGTTGTTTACGAGTAAACTTCATAATAGCATAAAGACATATTAATTAAACCCTCAGCCTCAACATGTGTCCCATCCGGCCACCAAATTACTATAGCAACCATTCATGTAGTTTACGAAATATATATATTATATTATAAATTGATTTACTAGCTGACCCGGTGAACTCCAGACCGCCACAAATATACTATTATTTCAAAGCCTCATGTCATGATAAATGTGCTTATTATATGTATAATGAAATACGATATTTATATCGGGAGTAATGTCTGCATTTGAATCGTGCAAAAGTGTGCGTATTTCAGGTTGAGAACGTCCAAGGTAATCTAGAATTACTTACGCATTCCGCTTAACCCATATCAAAATTAATAAAAAGTATCCCGAGACCCTTACTTACGCTATACGCAATGAAATGTGAGATTCGTAAGGTCTGTAGCGTTATTAAATATTTCAATAAATGTGTGAAAATGTACGATTCGAATAAATTTTTTATCCCAAAAGATAATGTATATGATTACATGTTTATTAGCTTACCAACATTTGGCTTGACTTTTTTTATGTGTTTTAGTAAATTTCTTTATCTTCTTTTTTTGAAAAAAACTTTGCCCAACATTAGGATTTTCTCCTATGTCGTTTGTGCATTTACAAACATATAATTAAACATGCACAGCACACCCAGACCTGGAAAAACAATTTGTGGATCACACAAAGAGTAGATCCGAGGGAATGAACCCGCGATACGTTGCGTGGTAGCCAGTTGCCCAGCCACCGCGCCAACCGTGCAGTCTTTAGTCTCAAATGTATAAGCTAATTTCACATTTAAATCATTTTCTTTATGTTTTGTCTGATGTACTTTAGCACTATCACGCTTTTCGCTTTAAATGCTTTTTTTGTTTTACATAAATTGTCGGCTTTTCTATAACTGAATTACGTAAAGATATTCCTAAACCCAAATAACAAGAAATTATCAATAGTTATGAAAAACTCATTAGCATTTAGTTTATATCTAAACTAATATTATAAAGAGGAAAAATTTGTAAGTTTGTATGTAGGGGGTAATCTTTGGAACCACCGGTCAGATTCCCAAAATTCTTTCACTTATTGATAACTACAATGTTCCCGAGTGTTATAGGCTATAAAACATCACGCTACAATCAAATGGAGCCGAGCAGCGAGTGAAACCACGCGGGAGTAGCTGGTCTTCAATAAATGTGTCGGGTTTTTATACAATCTTTCGTTTAGCGAGAACTTGACGTGGTTAGCAAAAAAACGTATAACTAATTTTCAAATAACATACGGACAAGACACCACGGCTTATCTGATGGTAAGCAATCGGTGCCGTCCGCCAAAAGAGTTTCAAATGCGTTCCCAACCTTGTAGAGATATTGGAGATTTAGGGATAGGAGAGAGAGGGGGGAAAGGATTTTGCCTCCGATAATCTGATTCACACGGAAAAATATAAAGCAAGCATTATTTCACGTCGATTTTCTGAGATGCCGTGGTATTATTCCAGACAAGCCAGCAAATTCGTGCCTAAGCGTGGTGTGACCTCTTTTACGAAAATGTTTAGTGAAAATTGGCTTTGTTGAGCATCAACCCTTATAATTTGGTAAATTAGTTTCCATGAAGTGAAACTTAATATTAATCGTTCTCATTACCTACCTAATATCATATTATCACAACGACTTTATCGCCAAAAATGACACAATTCCAATGCAAAGAATATCTTAACAGGAAATGCTAACACCATTGCAATACATTATGTGTAAATTAAATCTAGATATAGGTATTTATTTAACAGAAGATGTTGCATCCCTCACTCGTGCAGGATTAAAGTATGAATACCTACACAGATTGGTTTCTTCAGTCGTTATCTCCACCAAAAAAAGCCACTATCAAACTTATTACAAAAAAATACCAATTAATTGGGTTCTTCGAGATAAAAGTAAAAAAAAAAGATTCGTGTGAGTAAGTCTATATTTAAAAAAAGATGAATAAGACGTACTGTAATTTCTACAAAAAATGCCTTCCGACTGATATCTCTCATTTATTATGTACGTGACAGCTGTGTGAGAATTGGGCCACAGTCTTAATGTCACATGTCACTTTTGTCATTTCAAAATATGTAAAAGGAGAAATTATCTCTTGTAAAATAACACCAAGTATTCTGTTTTGTTGTTCTGAACAGCACGCCGATTCCCTTTTCTTATCTAATTGATAACCTTAAATTTGGTTTTCCTTTGTTTTTGTACAATTCACTACCCGATCAATCTTACTTTATTTGTAAATACTAAAAATCACTACATAAACTATCAGCGTAATTCTGGAAGGTAAAAAAATCAAATGTAAGTTAAGTTTCACTGGAAAAGTATTTATTGTGTGAATCTACATCAAATAGTTTCCTTACTTCATTCTCGTCATCAATATGTTTACGAGTTCCATAATTAATTTCTAAAGTCACACATAGTTGGTCGGGTTTGCAATTTTCTTGGGACCGACAATAATTAAGCATTTTAACCCCCTCTAATGTTTCGTAAATGCTACCTTTGGGGTTATACGAAACTATTTACGGCTCTAATTGTCAATAAACATTCTATGCTTATCACTTGTAATTGTAACATAAGTAGACGTTATAACTTTTTGTTTCAAATTATTAACACTATATACGCATATAATAGCATGTGAGCAATTTATGAAGTAAATAAGCTGATTACGAAAGCAAACCAAGTAAGCGGTCTTTAATAATAAACCAAACAAGCGTGTGTCATGTTACCTGTTTCATTACGTAATAAGATAATGACATAGTAATAACTCACAATGCCTTCAAAAACATACAACATATATTATTACACGGGCCTCTAATTCTAAATGACAAACGCTCGTTAATTTATAACTTTTATATGAAAATCGTTTATCTTTCTCTCACCAAAAGTTACCAAGCGTCTTCCTGTATTACAGACCATGTATCACTTAGGTAAAAGTTAGCAAACATTAAACTTATTAAACACGACGTACTTTTACGAGCCCTGACTAAGAAGTTACCCAATTACAATTATTTGTAAGTAGGTACACACATCTAACCCTCCGAAGACAACAAACGACCAAGTTTCGTTTTGTAATTTCTCTTTTGTTGTTTGTCGCGTATTCTTTGTTGATCACAGTTATTGTTTTCTCATATATATGAATAAAAGTCAGACAGGAACGAAATATAACGATGACGTGGTTATATCTTTAAACTCAATCTACCTACACTAAGTACCTACTTTTATGAGAATTTATTATAGATTTATAGACGGAAGATAGGAATAGAATGAAAATATCGTTCCAAACTTCTTTTATCTATACTACTATACTACTATACTAATAGTATAAAGAGTTAAAATTTGTAAGTTTGTATGTACGGGGTAATCTTAGGAACCGCTGGTCGTATTGAAAAATTATTTCACTGATAGATAGGTACAATGTTCCTGAGTGCTATAGGCTATAAAACATCACGCTACAATCAAATGGAACGAGCAGCAGGTTAAACCGCGTGAGAGTAGGTAGTATTGTGTACAGTATTATAAATACATAAGATAAATATTTCTTTTCTAGGGCGTATCAAACAGGCATGGTATGCATGGACGCGTGGATTAAACGTTGCTTGCCTACTGATGGGCAAAAGTTACTACAGCAACAGATTGGTGGAGCTCGAGCGCTTATGAGGTTCTTGTGCACAAACGATACGGCCTTACGGAGAGGTTAGTACTAATACAACTTACTATCAAATATGCATGACATCGCAAAGTAGAATACATATACATGGACAGCCTGCATTGGTGGTGATAATACAATACCACCCCATATTCCGTTATTGCCCTAACAGCCGGCTACTTCAAGCTCTTCATATTTTGTCTTCATAAATTTAAAAAATCAAGTTTTAAAATTTATATTTGATAGAAACCTAGATGAAGTGCTCACTGATAAAATTGCACCTTTTTTATTTCGGTCCCACACCCACCAGCTAAGCTCAAACATTATGACAACCACTATCTAAGTAGGAGTGAAATAAATAATAGATAAAAACGTGTTCCTTATTTTATCAGGTTACCATACAAAAACACCTACATGAAGTACATAAAAGCGCTTTCCAGGTAATAATTTCTGGAAAGAGGTGTTTTTCCTTGTGCCTACAAAAAAAAATATAGTAAAGACAGTTCTCGGCGTTGGGTGTCTAGGCAACGGCTAAATGATTTAAAAACAAAGAGCTTTTTATAAATGAATATTACGGAAAATAAACAGAAAAACATTCAATCTTATTATAGGAAGCTTTCAATGAGGATTTAAGTTCGAATAAAAAGATAAAGTGCAAATCCAATACAATCAAAAGGGATTACTGTTGTGATTGGAAACACTTATATTTAATTAAAAGCCGCCTCCGGCTGCAGTTTAATAATTGGAAACCAAACAGGGACACATTGCAACCTCTGTTAATCGTATATGTATACAAATATAGTGGTTGTTGCCAACTAAAGTTTACACATTCTACGCGATCCATCATCGAGATACGATGACGTCAAAAAGTCGCGTGTTCAAAATAAATAAAAGTTTGCAGCTACGATTGAACTGAAAGCTGATTGATCATTCGTTTTCAGAATTCGTCAGTCGAAAGTCGATATTCAATTTCGATTGGTTTTTTTTCACATTTTGTTAACACGTCCTATTTAGATATTAAATTTTATATTACGTAACGTTTTTTAATTCTAAATATTATAAAGATCCTTTACTTTGCGCTTGAACGGTTTTCTTTAGAAAGTGATGTGTACAAAGATGTGTATGTGAGTGATTATTACTTTTGTGCAGAATTCTTGAAAGAGCCTACGTGTTGGGGCAGGGTGTCTCCCGACTGGAGCCGCTGCGTCGATGAATTGCAGATCGCAGTCCGAGAAAATACGGAACGAGCTCAACAGCTCACGTATTTCAACAGGAACGCTGAGTTGTGTTGGTAATTAACTTATAATATTTTATAACATCCTTGTAGAAGAGTACTATGACTAAATAACAGTAATAATAACTTATAATTACTTTAAATTAATATGCAGTAATTACATATAACAAATAAAGAACTACCCTTTTATTTTCGAGCGAAGCTGGTAACAACTAATCTTAGACAACACAGGTCGTCACAAACAATCACTGTCAAATAAAAGAAACATATAACCGTTTCATTTTGATAGAACAGGTACATATGCCTTTACTTGTATATTTATGTATGTATACTTATACATAAGTAGGTCGCTTATTACATCCCTTCATTTCGTGCGAAATATTATGTGCCTTTTATCCGTAATGTTTCCAAGCTGTCAAGTTCAGTTTCATATGACCTCCGTTTCATGTAGGTACGTGTTTTCTTGTTGAGTATTATTTTTCTCAATAAAGTTAGTAGTAGTATTAGTATTAAGTTAGTAGTAGTATTAAGGTATAAGTTATTTTGTAACGTGGTTCATTTAATGCAGTGAATGATTTAAATTGCGTTTCAATTTATTTCAGGGCCATTGTCTTAATTCTTTGTAGAGCTTATTACAGTGGTAGTTGTAACTGGGTACGATATTAGCTATTTGTTACATCCGGACTAGATTAACGTCAAATAGTCGTTCTTACTTCAAGCTATTAGAAGCGGAGTTCATTATTATGTTTGGAAATATCCTGGCGCCTACACTTTTAAACAAGCAAATAGCTTCACTAGAGAACAGACGAACAGACCGACACGCATAAATTAAACCTTTTAAAATATGTTTTTACTAGCCGTTCAAAAATGCCTGTTGTGGTCTATATGAAATAAATGATTTGACATTGACTTTGACTTTGACGTCAGAAATTCAATCAAACTTTCCAATAGACGTATTTCTTATGATTGTGTACCCTATGGTATTATACCATATAAGTAGAGTTCACAAAACTCCAAATACAGCCATTGTTTTCCAAAAACCTATCGCCATGGTAATATTATTAACCCCAAGCCAGATGGGGTCGCCATACCAATTAACACTGCCCGTTGCTTGTCCATTTGCCCCTCGCAACCCAATTAATATGTTTGGTAAAAATAACCGTAGAAGAAACAATATCTGATTACACATGTTGTATTTGCGAGCTTTTGGTTATAAGTATTTTTAGAAATAAATTTATTTCTGGACATGGTTTTAATTACAATGAAACTTATATTTCGTATTGTCTGACGATAATTGTATAAGACTTAATTATACCTTACAAAAATAATATACAGCTCTGCCCTTCACGCTCACTCTTTCTAGGTATAAACGATTTTTGTACAAAAATAAAAACTATAAAACCAGTATAGCATAACTAAAAATCGCGGGTTACTCGCGTTTATATTGAGAAAAGCTCTACTAGTTTCGAACCACAGAGTTCTTCCTCATGAGCAGCGTGCTCGTACGCGGCGACGTCGCGCAGCCTACGGTTAGCCTTTTTTTTTTGTCAGGGGAAAATCATCCAATGACTTCTCCCGCCCAGGGTAAGGCGAGAGAGAGTGTCAGACTCTTACTGACTAAAAACCCCCCCGTTCCTTCTCCTGCTCTGGGCCGAGGTCGCGGTGCCTCATTGCGCTTACCCCGCAGCCCCGGCTAAACATCAGCCCTTTAGGGCCCCGACTGTGGTGGTCTATTGGCTCTTTGAGGCGCGCGCGGAACGCTACGCGCCGTACGCTCGGGTCCGGTTCTGGTCGGGCGGCGAGCTACCGTTACTCGCCGTCCCGCAGACCCGCGCTTACGGTGGCCGGAGATCATCTCTCGATCCCCGACGTCCGGAATGTCGCCTTCTGCGGCGGCTGGGGCGCGAGGAGGATAGTTCCCTCACGCGCTCCGCCTCCTCCTTTGCGAGCATAACTGCTTCGCAGAAGGAGGAGATAGCTTCCCAGTTCCTCTCACGCTGCACCATGGCCTCGATTAAGGCCGGGCGCGAGAGGTCGCCGCCGCCGATCACTTCCCTGAGAACACGGCGGTGCTCAGCCCAAGCAGGGCACTCCGCCACCGTATGCTCCACCGTGTCCTCCAGGTGGTCCTCACAATAGCCTACGGTTAGCCTGTGGTTCGAAACTAGTAGATCTTTTCTCAATATAAACGTGAATAACCCGATATTTTTATTTAATTTAGTATGTCTTACGATAGTTATTATAAAAACGGTATAAAGGATTAGATACTATGTTCTTTTACTACTTAAGGTGTAACGGATACCTTATATTTATCATAGAACTAAAGAATGACACCTGTATAGCATCACTAAGTTCACAAAGTTTCTGCAAATCAATTGGGAATTTTCAATGTGTATTATTTTAATCGTAAGACAAATTGCTTTTAAATTTAATAAAAAGGAATGAATAGAAAAGACAATAATAATATATGAGATTGAGAATTACATTCGGACAAAAAATAAAGTTATTAAATAAAGTTTTTCAACATTTTCAACTATAGTATACTATAATTTATTTTACTAGTGTAAAGCGCATAAATACATAGATACATTTTTTTTTTCGAATTTCTTTTTATCCATAATCTATCCACGAGTCCCTTTCTTTCCGACTTATTGATTCTTAGGGTAAATACTCGTAGGTTTTTAAGTTTATAGAGGAACAAAAATGTTTTTTATATGATTTGTGTTTCTTTCTAGTTCACGTGATGACTTCATTCAGTGCGTGACGCATGCGGGCCGCTCGTGCTCAATATCGGCGAGCACGTTACTCCGGCGCATGGCTTGGGTTCTGGCGCACGACATAGCGGCCTGCAACCAACAACCACGGGCATACTGCGCAGCACCACCTCTCCCCTACACTGCTCCCCTTCTCACCGCCATCTACGGACTAATATTCTATCCCCCACGCTTGTAAAGTCACCATTACTTTAGTTCATAAGATTTTGTACTCATATAATTAAGTTATTGACTTTTTTATTTTTATTTTGGACTACATGATCCAATAATTATGTAAAACATTCTCTCTGTTAGTGTAAATGTTTACACATAGATAATTTTTAATTTAATTTTGTTTAAACTATCTGTAAATATTTTGAAGGTAGTAAAGATAAACTCCAAAATGAAATGCAAAAGTAATGGTGCGGGCTAACATCTACGCCTTTTTAACATGAAATTTTTGTAAGGAAACATCTCACCATAAAATGTTTAACGTCATTAAAAAGTTTAGTTCAATATTCGATGTGTAGTTCAAACTTTCAAAATTCACAGAAATTCATCCAGGTAGTTGAATTAAAAAATAATCGATATAACGTTATATGTTGAATCAATATAATTGACTTCTATTGAATTTTCTCCAGGAATATGTATCTAGAAAATGTAGAAAATCCGATCTAATTCAAACTTGTGGAGAATTCAAGTAACCCCTTGGACGACTTAGATTGTCCGTTTAGCTTAAGATCTGCATGAGTATATGTATCATAATAATTGTATGAACACCTGTACATACACCATCCCATTATGCATAAAAATCATAAATTGTATTGATAGAATTATTTATCTGGATGATTTTTATGGAATCCCGTCGAATCTCGAAAACCCTTTTATGTAATGTTATTCTGATATTCAGCTATTCATTGCAAAATAATGGAGACCTACATAATTTTACGAACTCTTTACATTTACCAAAATGAGTGTGCATGAACCATAGCGGTGAAATCGATGTCACAATCGTTTTAACTTGGAATAAGGTACTTTACTTATGAGAAAAAAATATCCGTAAAAATATTTCAAATTAATAATAAGGCTTATATTGCATATTTATGCAAGTTGTGTGGTATAAGCTGGCTGTAAGTGTGGGAGAGCCATGCTTCGGCACGAATGGGTCGGCTCGGCCGGAGTGATACCACGGCCTCACAGAAAACCGGCGTGAAACAACCACAACGTTGTGTTTCGCCGTGTGAGTGAGGTTACCGGAGGCCCAATCCTTCCCCTACCCCAATCCCTTCCCAGTCCCAAAATCCCCAAAATCCCAATCCTTAAAAGGTCGGCAACGCACTGGTAACTCCTTCTTTGTTGCGGGTGTCCATGGGCGACGCCGATTGCTTACCATCAGGTAATCCGTCTGCTCGTTTGCCGTCCTATAACATAAAAAAAAAAAGTTTAAAAAAAAATACACAACATATTTCCATAGAAAATTCACAATATTTTGCCAATACAGAAAAACATGTATTGAACGTCACAGCAAACTAAAAAATATTTTGTCTTATCTTGTCTTCGTTGTCATTGTCAAGTACCCGATTTCTGTGTTCTAAATTCAAGTTTGAATTTGAAACAAATAAAATTGTGTGTTGCCAAAGAATGTAGATAAATTAAAAATATTATAGTCGTGCTATTAGTTTAGGAATTTATGTAAAGTAAATTATTAGTTATTAATTATTTTTACTGGTGTATATAATCGAAAATTTAATTATATATGAGTATCTTTAAGAAAAATAAGTAGGAAATTTTGTATACATAGTTATCTAAATGTTTGATGACATTAAATTACAAAAATAAAAATAGATACAATTTGTACTGAGTTATTTAGTTGCATAATGAGTATGTTTAATGTAAGTTAAAAGAGAAATAAATGATATTTAAAAGAATTATGAGTTTTTGATTTTCTTTAGTGATCTAATTTTGCGACGGAATTACATGTTCTAGCTAGTTAGTTACAATAAATTACCCATTTTTTTAAAGATCGATCGTTTAAGAAACAACACTTTTTTGGATTCTCCATTTTTATTTAGAACTGAACAAAAAATGTTTTTTGCACTCCAGTTGTAGGTAGTTGTCTGAGTACGGATAAGTCATCAATATATTTTCCTAAACTTAAATAGTTTTCACGAGAAGCTCTTAGCAATTTGGAAATAGCATGTAACGCGAGCAAACTGAAAAAAAAATATTAGGTACCTACAGTTACTTTTAAAACTTTCGATTAATGAATTCAAATATAAAAAAAAACATATTTAATTATTAAAACATATTATACTATAGTTAAAACTACAAGACCTTTATAATGTGTTTCTTGCTTATACCTGGCTTTACTTCGTTTGAATGGAAATCATTGTATGACTTCTCTGGCCCTGTTTTATGGCGAGAGCGAGTGTCAGGCTCTTGCTAACTTAAATCCATCCGTTCCATGTCCTGCTCCAGGCCGGAGCCGCCGGCTTACCATCGGCCCTAATAGGCCACATCTGTGGTCTAACGACTCTACGAGGTACGCAATAATGAACGCAGGACGCCACATACTAAATACGTTGAGGTCTTTTTGTGGTCGGGCGGCGAGTTACCCTTGCTTGCTAACAGCCGACAAAGGGCCGGCAACGCACTTGTAGTTCCTTTAATATTGCAGGTTTTTGTAGGCATTGCCGATGGATTACTGTCAGGTGATCCGTCTGCTCGTGTATCGACAGATATCAGAGACGTTACAATAAAAATGTCCAATTGGAAACCTTGTAGCCTATTATTTTGGAAGTTGGTAAGTGATTTTTTTACGGTGAAAAATGCATCGTAATGTTTTGTTATTGCTTTTACGGTATCTGTGGTTGGATGGAACATTTGTTAATGATAAAAGAAGATCGATATAAACAAAGAATTACCGATTATCAACATTCGCTTGTTTAAGCATTAACCGGAGATTAAACTCATTATTATTACTGTCGATTTGCTTTAATTGTCACATTGGAATTGCAGTGATTTTGCATAATTGGTTGTCTACTATCACTTTGGCAGCTTTTATTTGATTGACGTACAAACGAGCAGAAAATAAAATCAATTTGAGAACAAAGTTATTTAATTTGGAGTTGCGCTGCAGACAGACCATTTCAAACATTACTTCACTTTTTGGTATCTACGGTATTTCACAAACAATAATCTAGTAGTCTATGACGCCTTTGATCAATTTCGAATAGTTAAATTCTTTTGATCTTTTGTTTTGTTAAAATATGACAAAGGAAAAATAGTTTTATTAGAAAGACTTTTAAAAGAGGTTTTTATTTCAGATAAAAATTATTTGGCTTGCTGATTTACAAGGTCATTCGCCAGATCAACAAAACTGTTTTATTTTTGAATGTCTAACTTTGTCTACATAGTTGTGACTTTAAACAGATTTTGTTTTATTTCAGTTTCCTGCAATTTACGAACTATTTAGGAAAAATATAATTTCGAAGTAAATGCACTGTATCAAAGAATTTACAATTCAACACAATTGACATACCTACAATGACGTATTATATCGTTGTCCGCGCTCTAAAATGGCAACATGAAATGAAGGCAATTTGACAACATCGCGCTTAGTCACGCACCAACCTCCCGCGCGACGCTACGTTTGTTATAATTTATATCGTGTGTGTAAACCTGTGCGAAACTAAAGAAAGCATGCCGTCGTGTGTGTTCAGAGGATGTACAAATTATACTCTAAAAGTTAAATACAAAAATGTGTCATTTCATGCGTAAGTTCACCAAACAACCTATTTTTATTTTATTTTTTTCGACGCCGGCGCCCGCCATCTTATGGCGGCCAGCGCATGAAGGTCACGTGCCGTCGGCATAACTGAAGATGTATATTTATCTCCCTCTAGCAAAGGCATTCCACTATACGATGTCATATTTGCTTTCCCTTTCTTTACTCGTAGAAGTAGTTATCTAGTATTTTCGCCGTTTTTAAGCGCCGCGATGTTGGTTCATGACGTGTCTATATATAATACGTAGATTTATACATCATTGCATACCTAGGTCTAAAAATACTTTTTCGAATGGGAGGCAAACGAACAGATGGATCACGTGACGATAAGTGATCAGCGCTACCCATGGATACCTGCAACACCGGAGGAATCACAAGTGTGTTACCGCCTTTAAGAAGATTTAATTTTTTTTTTAAGAAATAACACGCTAATTTCTAGTTAGGAACAGAAAGCAGTATTATGAAAAATATTCTTGTTCAATTATCGTTGTATTATATAATTATCAACTAACTGCAATCTTTAAGCGAACTTACTTACATAGGTACCTGCCTGACAAAAGATTTTGCGTCCACAAATCCACCTAAAGGCAAAGCCTTTGGTGGGCATTGGGCCTTTTTTGACTTATGACGTAGAATAATATTGCACGTTTTTCAGGCCTTTTTTGGGAATTGGTGGGATTTTGCGAGTGGGGATGCCAGATTGAACGTCCGGCAACCTCACGCGCGCGGTGAACAATAACCTCAGCCTCTTTTTACGCCGTTTTTCTTAAAGCCTGGTATCACTCTAGTCCAGCCAGTCATCATTCGAATTCCCATTCTTCAGCACGAATGACTCTTTGGAGACTTCTAATTTACTAGTAAATAGGTGAATAGTAACAAAATAATGTTGAAATATTATTTATCACCCTTTATTATTTTTAGTAATTATTTTTAGCCTTAATTATATTAGTATAAAATATTTGTTTTAATTAACATTTTAATGAATAATAAAGTTTCGTCAAACATGAGTATAATGTGTCTTGTATACATGTAATAAAGAACCCAATTACATCACCATCACAAAGTATTCGTTCCAATATTTTATTACGTAGATATTGAACTCACAACGTTGATATCGTGTGTTTAATTACATTGTATTCATAATATTTTGTCGAAATTACTTCAAAATAATTCAGTTATATGAGCTCTTAGAGTCAACGTTTAACATTAATAGGAGTAATTAATTTTGAAGTTGTATACTAGATAGATATATAGAATAAAGATAGGTTTATTTTCTTATAATCTTATTTAAAAAAAATACAGGAATTAAGATTTTGTGCTAGATTAGTAATTTAAATTTCCAGTCTTGACTCTATGCTTGTTTTTGGATTAGAGATGAGTCTAGCTATTGAGATTTATCATCACCATCATTATCAGCCTATAAGAGCCCACTGTTGAGCAAATGCCTCTTCTCACGCGAAGA